GTGGATGAGTCCCACTATCTAAATTTTTTGGATGAGCTAGCACTTGATCAATGATCTAAAATAGTTGGGTGAGCTAAGTTGATGTTGGGTGAGCTAGACACTTGATCAAGCTCTGTGGGTTTTCTGGTATTTATGGGAGTTTAATTTCGATAAGCTAGGCGCTTAGTTGATTCAGACCTATATTTCTAAAACAAAATCCAGTAATATTCCTAGACACATTCTTTCTTTTGATAAAAAGATTACAACGTGGAGAATATATAACATTAGAACTACATTAATAACTAGGAAATGCGGCAATGCTACAAAAGGTAAGCTAGAAATGATACTAAAAGGCATATAATGAGGGTTGTAGAAGCGGGAATCCACAACCACCTCAAAGAGAAAGGTGAAGAAGGCAAGCAAAGAGAACCAACAATCAGCAACAAAAAGGATAGAAAGTGTTGGAGAAAACGCTCTAACCAGACCTTGATTTACGAGACTATGCTAATTCCTCCAAGCGCTATGTACAAATGAAATCGATTATCTCTGGTCACGCTTTTTGCAATCGATCGAGCTATATGGAGTTGCCGGAGATTGCAACAGAGTGTACAACAAAAGTTTCAAACCCGCTCATAAGAAGATGAGTTTTGTCCGGCTGTTTTGAAAACGTGGCCAATTTTGAGGTAGTGAGATCGCATCCTCAGACACTATCTCCACCTTAGTAATGTGAACATCCGGCGTGCCAGCTAATGACCATATCAAGCATAAGAGCTTATATATTTATGATGCGGCAAGGCAAAGGTGTTTAGCGCATATCAACTATGATAAACCGTTTGTTCTAGGTACCACCACTTATATTTACAGTACCTCCATTAAAAGAATTTGAAATCTAATATTATTCAGTTAAAATGCAAAAATCATCGATACTGTTTCCGTGTTCGGAAAGGAGTATCGCACTCGAGTGAAAAAGAAACCCGAGAATTATCGGGAGATTTTCTCTTTCTCTAATTTTAGAGAGAAGCATGAGACCTCAGCTTTGTTCAGTCTTGACCAAACGCTCTTGAATTTGACGGTCTAGTTTACAATTTTGTTTTTAAAACAAAAACAACCAAATTCGTGAAGGAAAAATCTTTCAACTTCGAAAACGTCAATCAAATCAACAAAAACATCAATGTCAATACAAATAAGTGTTTACTTATTTATATACAATTAATGTGCAAGGTGTTAGGAACGAAGAAGAATGAGTAAAAAATATCAAAAACAACCGGCGCAAGAATAGATGAATAGATACTTCCCCAGCTTAGGTTGAAAAATTGTTTTTCAAAAGCATTCACCTGTGTGTGTATCTTCCCCCAAAATGAATCTGTTAGTTTGAGTGGCGTTTAAGGTACACCAAAACTCCAAGTCCAGCGGCAAGAGCAGCCCCAGCTGCAACTGTTTTGTAAGCGGCTGCCCATGAGTTTGATTGATCGTAGTCCATATCCTCTGAGCTTAAACCTCTCATGTGCCCTCTCTCTGCTATGTAGTCCAAGTGTAATTTCAAGCCCTGTAAATGTTGGAATATGTTATTCTTTAGCTCAAAACCAACTTAGCCATGTGTGTTTAATCTAGACAAACCGAAAAAAAAAAAAAAATCGACCTGAAAACCGAGTTAGACCTTATCAGGTTTAATATGGTTTTCTGTTTTCCATGTCTCCAAAAATTGACTTGATTTTCTTTGAAAATAAGATATGCTTGATTGAAACTGAACAGATAACATACCAAACCAGTCCATGCTAGATTCAGTTTTCCTACGTTAACTATTGTTCTAACCCAAAAACCCAATCCAAAACCCGTATTGAAGGTATACTTTCATCCTAATTCTTTGCATCAGTTGACAATAAAAATGGAGGAATAAATCATTACCTTCCAGCCTATTGATTTTGCATGCTCCACGGCAGCTCCAAGATCACCATCTGATGCCAAAA